TAAGATAATAAATAATGGTAAAAAATCATAAATAAAAATAATTTGTTTTATTATTATATTTTTGAATTTCATTTTTGTTAGATTTTTTGTTTTCTTTATTATTTGAATTTTTTGTCCAACTTTTATTTTTTGAATTTTATTTTTGTTGATTTAAATTTTACCATTATCTATTATTTTATTAGATAAAGTAAATATGAAAATAATTTATAATTTGATTTTTTTAAAATTTTGGTGCTTACATGATAGTGAGCTGGACCGTCAACCGTTAGTCAACGATGTTGACTGTCCAAATTGATGGTTAAACCATGCATCCGGTCAATTAAGTCTATATAATGTAAAATTGAAACTAGAATAACAATTTTTGAAGCCACTAATTAAAATTTATCATTTGGTATAATTCTAGTCATAATAAGGTATGAACCTTTAGTCAAAGTACAGAGGGATCGATTGGTGGCGAACCGAACAACCAGGGCACAATTTTTCAAAGTGGACCATTTGGTTTCCCTGTTTTTCTTCTTCTGGAGTAGTTGACTTGCAAGTCGTTGACTTAGTAGTGATAATTCATATTTGTTTGTTTTTATTCATATGTTTCCAGAAAGAATTAAAGAAAGGGAGAAAAAATGTTTGAAAATGTCATGTGGATGTTATCGACCAACAATATTAATAATGATTGTAAGAAAAGATAATTATTAACAGGTTAGATTCTATTTTTCGTTCTTATTGAGCTAAAAACCAAAGCAATCTTAATTGGTATATCATGAAATTCGAAATTTAGTAGTGTCTTCATATGACATGTTTCGGTGTCTTAAAATTTCATCAAGATTCACTAATTCCAACTACTTCTTTAGTTACTATTGAACTAAATAACTGCCACACAATTGTAAGAAATAAGAACTAGTTCACGAGTCTAGTCCTAATGCCCAATCGAGATCTCTAGGCCCATAAGCCATAATACGCCTAGTGAAGTTTCAAAGCCAAGATATTTATCATTCATGGTTTCATGGACCACTTTAAGTGTAGCATTATAGATTAGAGATCATCTTCGTGCCACTAAAGATTTCGACCACACTCGAAAGATTCGTATACACAAAACTTGTACGATCACCGAATTTATCATCTTTAACTCCAAACTAATTGACTAAAATATAAGACAAATCGTACACTACATCAGTCTACTTTCGAGATTTAAAAAAAAACACCGTCCTGCATACTTTAATCAGGGAAAAATTATGATGCCTCTAAAATTGGATTCAAACTCATGAAAGAGATTTGTTGAATACAAACTGCACAGTAGGTAACTGCGATGGGGATGTCTCTCAACTCAACTTGTTGTGCAACTTGGTCTGCTTGGATGGCGGCTCAGAGTAAATGCGAGGGTAGACTATTGTATTGATGTCGGCAGGTGGGCCGGGCGGATATCCTTACCCATCTATCTATATACGTGTTTCTCAAACAGTACCATCACGCGAGGCCCGTAATACAAATGGGCTAAAAGCTAATATGCCTATAATCACCCGGACAATAAGGCTCAAACAGCTCCCTCAAAAGTCCATTCTTCCTTCTTGGGTTCAAGCCCATATCCCTGCACAAGAGATAGGGGTGTCAATTCAGTTTTTCGGGTTTACCCGAAAACGACCCGATTATATACATTTTTTATTTTTCGGGTTCGGGTTCGTTTCGGGTTTTAGGTTTTTCGATTTCGGGTTCGGTTTGCTTATCGGTTTTTGGGGTTCCGGCTAAAAACCTCCAATGAATAGAACTCAGTCCGTAATTTAGGCGTTCGGGTTTTCAGGTTTCGATTTTGCTTTAACCAAACCCGGACCCGATAAGGAATTTTCGGGTAACTGGAACCCGCAAGTCCTTATCGGGTTCGGGTTCAGTTTTAGTAATTTTCGATTTCGGGTTTCGGTTTGGGTAACCGAACCCGACCCGAACTGACACTCCTAACAAGAGATGGTGACAATAACATTAAATAAGATGATGTGACAAACAACTTAATGTGACACGTAGTTTTAGCATACGTTGTTAGCGTTAAGATTACTGTTGGTGGTAAGAGTGAAAGAGAACTGTCATTCGTTGTTGAACAGAACCAAATTTACTTATTTAGTTCTAAGGCCAAAATCGTATTTTCCTAATGTCTTTCTTATAACTCTTACTTCACAAGCGAGGTAGGATTTTATTAAAGAAGAGAGCGATTTAGGAGGTTGAGATGCCTCTGGTTTTTGCAGAACGTAAGAGTTCAAAAGTAACTCTGTGTTAGAAAAGTAAATCTAAAACTAATTTGGACGAGTGAGAGATCAGAGAAGGAAGGCGCTGCATAGGTAGCAGGTTCGTTGTGATCTACAAAATTATATTCATTTTCAATATATTCCGATAAAAAATTTTCATATCACCAATACTACTTGTTACCCCTTGACATTAATTGGTACAACCTTCGCTTTTAACTCGAATTATGGAAAAAATTTCCCATAAAAGTTGACTTCATCCCCGGAGATCGGTCCAGTAGAGGACCCTTTGGGCATAAGGAACGATTTCATCATGATCTATTATATCTACAAATTTGTGGAAAAAATCATTTCAAGACCAAATATACCACCCTATACCATCATTGTATAGGGTGGTAACTGATGGCAACATAAGCGTGTTTTTACGTAAAAGCGTTTTGGTGATCTAGAAACGTAAAACCATAAGTTTGTAAGCTTTAAAGCGCAATTTTTAACTACATTAGTTATAAAAACTGATATTAAGTGTAGAAGCATTTTGGTGACTTAGAAGTGTAAAACCGTAAGTTTTTAAGTTTTAAAGCGTGATTTTGACGACATTGATTGATAGTATACATTGATGAAAGATGACAGTTAATATATTCCTACTATCATGTATGCAACCTTTCTACACTCTGGTATATTCATATCACCATGATACACTTTCATACTTAAACGACCCAATCCTTTTTGAAAACCAACCCATAACTCAAATACCGGGGTGTTACATTCCTTCCACCCTTACAAAAATTTCGTCCCCTAAATTTGGAACAGGAAAGATAATTACTTGGTCTTAAACTTTTGGTGTTTGACTAAAACTTCTCAAGATAGGATATAATATTTCCCTCCCCCTTAATAAAATTTTGACCTCGAAATTTGGTTAGAAATAATTTAATAGGTTTGGTACCGAGTACTAAAACTGAAAGTGCGTCTTTCAAAGAAAACAACCAACAGTGGTCTATGCTTAAATAAAATACTCCTTCTCCACAGTCTCCCCATTTCTTCTCATGATCGCATCAATGTGCTTGCTCGTCCCCTCCATCGTCACCACGATCTCCCTCTATCCCTCGCATGGCAAAAACCCTCGGTTATCCTCCTGTTGGAGGACCCTGGTCTCTGTCCCGATCGGTGCGATCGAAGCGCCCAGTGCGTCCTCCCTGGCTCTGGAAAGAGCGGTTTGGCTGGCCGCCAAACCGTGGTCCTGCGTGAGTCCTCGCTCCACCACCCCGGAAAGACTGCTCGGACCGAGCCATCCCTTGTCCGCCTCTCCAGGGGCATTCTCTAGCGAAATGCCCAGGCTCGTTACAGTTATAGCAAACCCTGGGGAGCTGCCTACACTCCCCTGAGTGATCCCGCTCACACTGGTTGCAAAGACCTTTGTTGCTGAAAGTTTGACCAGGCCGGACCAAGCCGGTCTGACTCTGAGTACCCCCAAAGCTAACGGTACCGCTCGGCCTCCTTCTGTACTGACTGGGCTGACCAGACCACTCTGGCATGCTACTTGCCTTTCTCTTGCTTCCCTCTCACTATATCCCTTCTTCATGCACAGCTGTGTCAGCCCTCTCTATCCGAAGAGGCGCCTGATAAATCTCCTCTCGACTATTCCACGCCAGCATGCTCAACTGCTTCTTAAGGGCAGGCTTCAGACTCTCCAAATAGTGGGCACGTTGAGATGCCGCATCCTGAAACTGAAGTCCCCTGTAGGACATCAGCTTCTCGAACCTGGAGGCGTACTCTGCAACACCCTCCTCTCCTTCATTGCCCATCCTTGCTTGATCAGCAAAAATTCTCTCTTTTTGCTCAGTCGATAGGCCTCTAGTACATAGTGATCCCGGAACACGCGCACCAACTCTGGCCCAGTGATAGCAGGTGGGTCTTCCTGGCTAGCTGGCTTGGTGCACCACCAATTGTATGCTGAATCCTGGAGCAGAGATACTGTCAGTAGCACCCTGTCCTCATCATCTGCCCTCGTTTCAGTCAATGTGCGCGAGACCTTCGCCAGCCATTTCTCTACTTCACTAGCATCCTTCGAGCGGTCCCCATCAAAATCAACCACTCCTCGCCTCTGGAAAGCCTCATAATTCGGGGGTTGCCTAACTACCGCGTGGTTAACATTGGTGTTACTTGCTCTGCAAGTAAGTAGTACCCTTATTAGAACCACATTAATGTCTTATCATGCTTGAGTATATTGGGGACTCTACAAACCTTTTCAAATCGGTTGGCCAACCATTTTTCTTGAAAGTTCCTTTTTTTCCTTTAAAACTAAACCTTTGAAAACCCAGATCGTCACTCCAGTATTCCTTGGAGACAAAAAAACAGAGGAATGCAGGCTCTGATACCAAAATGAAACAACCCGATCCTTTTTGAAAACCAACCCATAACTCAAATACCGGAGTTGTTACACATACCACGTGGAATAGTATTATGTATTACTTTATTGGTAATAAAGTCTCAATTGTTTTTTTTTTCCTCCAAATTATATCACAATGGTTGTTGTAAAGTCTCAAATTAATGAGACACTAAATCGAGTTAACTCACAAATCTCATGAGCCAAATAAGGATGAGCTCAACCTCGACTCGTTTACTAACTAGCCAATATACGAACTTGTCATGCGATGAGCAATTTGGCCAATTCGCAGCACCATTGGCCAACAATTCACCCTGGAGTTTGTATAGGATCCCCACAAGGCCCATTCAACTAGGCCCCTTTTTTCCAGTCGAGCCCATTCGGCCCAAATAGAGAGGGATTTCCCAGTCGAACTGGCTAATAACTCTGGCCAAAAATGAAAGCCCGCTTCCGGCGACCGCGCAGATAAGGAAAGTAAACTGTAACCGTCCGATCAAAATTGAAAGTCTTACCCAGGCCATCATCAATCTTCCGCTTATATTACCGTTAAGGCGCTCCTCCTTTTTCCCCCATTCCCTATTCAAACCCACGCTCTCTGATTGCCATTTAGCAAACAAACTAAACCAAGAAAGCGAAAGAAAGCGAAACCCTTCTCGGAAAATGTCGACGATGAAGTTCAATCGCAAGCCGCCGCTCGCCAAATCGCCGATCCGCCTCCGCTCCCGCCGCGCCCTCCACTCAAACTCCGCCTCCTTGCAGACTCCGCCTGGTTAGTCGGTCAAATTACACTTTCTTCCGCCGCTTGCTCTTCTAATTCGATTTCTTTCTCTCACAGGTTCGTTGATGAAATCGGCAAAACTGAGCCGCGGACTGGCCACTGATGTCGACGTCGGCGGTACGGAACTCCGGCCGGAGTACCGGTTCATGTCCTCAGAGCTGCGTGCTCTGGCGAAGCAGGTCCGCGACGAGCTCGGTAACGGAGATCTGGCTGCCAAACCGAAATCCGTCGGCGGGAGCTTGAGCGCGAATTCGAGTCCCCTGTTTTTCGAGAGGGGGAAACTGTACGACGAGTACGCCGCCAGGAGGAACGAGCGGCTGCGGAAGAAGAAGATCTGCGGCGCCGCATACGATTTCGCCAAGACGCCGTCGTACAGGCTGGGAGTGACGGTAGAGTCGTCGAAGAGGAGGGATTCCACGAGGAAGATGGAGAGCTTGAGGAAGTCCGTGGCATCGGCTTACGGCGGCGGCCAGAGGCTGGTCGGTGGGGAGACTCCGAGGTACTTGTTGAGGAGTATGTGTAAAGACAGCAAGAAGCCGCCGCCGGCTCCTCTGGCGATGAACTTCGAGAGATCTGCTCTTCCAAGCGAACGGAATATTGGAGTCCGGAGATCGGTCAGGAGGGTCTGAATTCTGATTGTTCTTTTGGTTGGTTGTGTTACCATTTCTGTTTGGTATCATTTTAGGGGGAAACAGCGGATTTCTTTCCTTTCTGTGAATAGTCTGCTTCTTTAAGACATTCATCAGTGAATCTCATCTTCAATGTTTTCCACACGTATTGTACCTTTCTAAAGCTTTTCCATCTCCCTTCATCTTCCCCTGTTTGTAATGTACAAGTTTGTACCATGGTAGTTCGGGGTGTAGTTCGAGCCACGTATTAAGATTAGCAGTTCGTATCAAGCTCGCGTATCAAGATTAGCAGTTCATATGTGCGTATGGGAACATACTCATAGGAAGTTAATGAATGATCACACTATATATTGAGAATGATTCCCACCCTAAGAAAATGAGAATCTTGTTCCATAACACGAACGGAGCTACAGAGGAGTAATGAACAAACAAGAGGTTTGGGAACCCTAGTAAACCTCAGGAAGAAGAAATTACAAAGGGAGACGAGCAATTGAACTGCTTTCGGTATGTTAGTGTCAAGAATCAGCTAAATTCAGTATAAAAATGTTTAGTCTATGTAGAATACACAAGCTTATGTTGTAACCAGCAGATAAGCAAGGCCTTTAAGGTATTCCACAATTTCTGATCCTCCAAGCTTGGAGCTTCCAAATACTCTGTCAACAAATGTAATTGGAACCTGGGAGTAGCATAAAACCACTGCTCAGATGCATGTTGATTGTGTCTATTGATTTGGAAGGTTGAAATTAAGCAAGGTTAGAGAGAAAGAAGTGAGTACCTCCTCAATACGGTATCCTTTCCTGGAAGCACGAACGATCATCTCCATCTGAAACACGTATCCCTTGCTAACGACTGAAGTTATGATATCTTCAAGCACAGACTTCTTGTAAAGCCTTCAAACAAATAGTAATTTTTAGGTTGAAATATGAACAATGGGACATCAATTGAGACCGGACATAGATAACGCTAAAAGTACCGGAAAGATCCTGTCAAGTCAGATACACCGGGCCATAAGAATGTATGTGCAAGAACATTGGCTCCTCTACTTGTTAGCTTCCGCATAAGATTCCAACCATGCACGCCGCCACCTTTCACGTATCTGGTTCCAGTTACTATACTTGCACCGGTCTCTAACTGCTTCCTGGTGATAATGGAAATTGGTAAAACGAGATCGCCTTACCCTTAACACGATGAAGTATCTTAAAAAGTGAATTTATGAATATCTTACTTGATAAAGCTGGGGAGGTACTTTGGCTGCAGATCAAGGATCACAAGGAAACAAGATCAGGAATGAATGTAAAATGCTTCTAGTAAAAGATAACCTTGTAAAGAAGACGAACAAATAACTGGAACTCACATGGTGAGATAGATCAGCATCCATAATTACTACAAAATTGCCAGACGCGTGCTTCAAACCGTGAATGTAAGCAGTACCTAAGTTGTAATCAACCAGTCAAATCAGCATGATGCAACATGAATATCAAATGAAGAAGAAGGTTATCTAGTCTCTACATACCGAGACCAAGCTTTTTGGGTCGAGCTCTTAACAGCTGCATTGCAAAGAACCAGAATGTGAATGACCAACACTAAAAGCCGTTTCGAGATCAATATATGGGTATTGAGAAACCTACAACACGGTCTTCGCCATACACTTGCTGCAACTGCTTAACGATATCTTGAGTGCCATCCGGACTCCCATCATCCACAACAATGATTTCAAAATCAACATCCCTGAATAACACAGAACAGAAGTTAGTCATGAGCAATATAGAGCCGACTAGGACTAACCTGTGGTGTTATCAGAGGTACTTTCCAAAGTAAATTCATCAGGCAGATCTCAGTTATAAATATCAAGACTAAATTTCAATCGCTTTACGCAATACTCAGCAGACTGCTAGCTGACGAAGAAGAAACAGTGATCAACTCGCCCAATATAAGTGAAATTTTAGCTCTAAGTTCTAACTCTAGCCTGCTTGCAAATCACATGGAATTCAACGTTGCCGTAAAAACTAAAAAGGGTTGTTCCCAATTTTACTGTACAAGCAATTTCTCTGGAATCTGGATCAAGTTGCCACCTTTCACCGATTCAAAAGAACCCACAACTTGAAAAGAGCAACAGTGGAGGAACTCAATCAAACCCGTCCGAAATTCCATTCGATTCAACAGATATCTGAAATTCGAGATTACCAATTTCCCGAAATCAAGAGATCGCAGCTAACGAGCTGGGGAACTGACCTGAGATGCTTGAAAATGAGGTAAACGATGAGGGCGATGTTGAGTCGCTCGTTGTAGGTTGGGATGATTATACTGTACTGGTTCTTCCCTTCGTTCTTCCGCTCTTCTTTGGACATTTTTTACACCTGCTCGGCGGCGGATTTGCCTCAGATCCTCTCAATTTCGTCCCGGAGATCGTCCAGATCCTTCAGATTAGTGGAAGGATTTTCCGTAACTCTTCCAACTTTATTTTCTCTCGCTCTGTTCTTCGTGGCCGCCGTCTGCCAACGAAACCGCGGAGCTGCCGCCAACTGAGATCTGACTGTTTTAGTTAAGTCAAACAGGCCGACCCATAAAAAAGGAAAATGGGCCATTAAGCCTGGTGTAGTTTGCTGGGTCAGAACCTGGTTTAGCCCATTGATGAATTACGAAGCTGGTTAAACAGCTTGTCTTCTTCCCGCCATTTCTGTCGCTAAAGAGCAGAAAGGAAGGGTCACAGATTGAAGCCATAGTAGAGAAAGAGAAGCATATCACAACGAATACTCAATGCTTCATATTATTACAATTATTCAAGAAAGCTTAATGCTCCTCGTTTGGTTTTTATTTACAGATGGAAGATCATTTTTCCCAGCAATAGCCTTCTAGCATCTCTATTTTTCACTACAACCAAGCAAGGAAACATCTTTATTCTTCATTCTGATGGTTCTTCTTCCTTGGGCTTCTCCACTTGTGACGTTTTGATCTCCGTGCTCGCGCTAACATCACCACCACCATCATGATCTGTAATCACTTGCAGATCTTCAACCAGCTTCAGTTCATCCATAGATTCTTTGACATCTTCGAGCTCTTTTGCCACGAAATGAATGGATTTACTCTCTTCGTACACGTCGGCATTGTAGTAAACCTTTGGAAACAAGTTGAGGGCGAAAAGATTTTGTTCGAGACTTAGATCGGCAAACCATTTCAAGTAAAGCACAGAGAAAGTTTTGACCATTGGCAAGCACACCACGATTACATGTAAATAGAAGTGTATAGACGAGAATGAACGCTACTTACTACGCATGTACGAGGTGGCGAGAGGACTTTGAAGGAGTTAGGACGGTTATTGAAGTTCGTCTCGGGCACCCCAGGAGTCCCTTCAGGAGAGGTGAAATGGTCGACGTCATGCCCTACCTGAAGAAATTGAATAAAAAGCTATTCTATGAATGTTCCATCAAGTAACCATGTTGATATGAAAATGGAGATAGATATGGCTCATGAGATTAAAGATCAGATGATTAATCAACAAGGAAAAGAAAAGCATTGTTCTTTATAGACTAAATCTTTTACCATGTGATGAAGAAAAAAGACTAGAGAGTGATCGAACTAGAGGTTCTCACCCTTCCATGTCCACCAAACTCCCAAGCATCACTGTCCAATGCAACTCTGTATTTCCCAGGTAAGTCACACCCGATTTTGTACCTGAGAACGGATTCGGATGTTTAAACTGAAGAGTTACTGAAGAAGTTGCTGTTAATTCTTTTGTATAATTTGGCAGAACATACCCTTCATATGTGTTCTCTGGATGAAAATTAAACACAAAGACGAGATCTCCTCTCTCGAAGACAATAACCTGCAATGACAATGAATAACACACACAGCAAAAATTCACCGATTACAGAATCCATCACCCAAACGAACCATTAGACATGGCATCCATATGTACCTTATCTTCTTCATCCACGCTGCTCACAATCTGCTTGGTTGATGCAAGGAATGAGAAAATCTCGTCGAGCTTGTTCATAGCGCTGTCAAATGCATTCATGTACTGGAAAAATCAAGACAAATAAAAACAACTTCAGTCTTGAATGTGTATTTAGAAGTTAGATAACATGTAGACTACGAATGCAACTTCGAGAGAGAGGCTGAAAACCTTGTATCTGAGATGTTCCATGTCCACTAGATTCCATTGACGTCTGCATTTCTCATAACTCCATCCATTGCCTTCTCTTGGAAAGTCGATCCATTCAGGATGGCCAAACTACAGACAGAAGGTGACCACTCCAGATGTAAATATGGATTATTTCCTGAATCTGTTATGCAAAATACGCTAGTCTCCTTCTCATCAACCTAAAATTTGCCGCTATGAAGCAGCAGTAATTACCTCATTTCCCATAAAATTAAGGTAGCCCTCACCTCCTAATGCCATTGTCAGAAAATGTATCATCTGCAACAGTTAATAGCATCAAACAAAGTTTAGGTTAGTTGCAAAGAGCAATATGAAGCAGAGTAAGTTACAACCTTTTGAAGGTGCAGAGGCAAACCTTGTGCAGCGCAATCCCCCTCTCAATTTTAGGCGAAGTATCACCTAAACATGACATCCCAGAGTACATCTCCTGGTCCATCAGGAGGAAAGCCATTGTTTTGTCACCTACGATAGACTGCACGTTTGACAATGACGAATCACACTTACTAGACAAAAGAAAAGAGAAAAATCCCATAGTAATTATCTAGTATCTTCCATCACATTGCACATAAGATATTGGAGCCTAACAAAATCAAGACAAAGGAAATCCGTGAACACATACTTGGTCATGACTCTCTGCATAGGCCACACACTTCTCTGCGTATCTCCTGTTAGTCAAGTTCCCCGCGATTTCGTTCACAGACCATTCTTCATCAGTCTTGTTTTTCAAGTAATCGATCCACTTATCCGGGATGCCCATCGCCAGTCGGTAATCAAAACCAATACCTCCCTCTGAGACAGGTCGACCAAGTCCTGGCATGCCTGAGACATCCTCAGCAATTACTGTAGCATCTGGAAGCACATCATGTATCAAGCAATTTGCCAGCATCAAATACACAACAGCATCAACATCAGTCGCCTCACTAAAGTACTCCTTGTACTGTCCACTAAACGCCATGTTGATCCCATGATGATGGTACAACATCGATGTCACTCCATCGAACCTAAACCCATCAAATTTAAACTCCTCAAGCCACCACCTCAAATTCGATAGAAGAAAGCGAAGAACTTCCCAGTTCGAATAGTTAAAGAGCCTGCTATCCCACAACTTATGGTAGCCACGTTCTCCAGTGTGAAAATAGGATTCCTGTGAGCTTTGGCCAACATCAAATCCATTGAGTCCATCAGTGACGTTGTTGCTTGCATGGCTGTGGACAACATCCATCAGCACACGCAGTCCCAAGCTATGGGCTTTGTCGATCAAATACTTTAGGTCCTCAGGAGTTCCAGATCTGCTGCTCACGGCGAAAAAGTTGGTGATGTGATAACCAAATGATGCATAGTACGAATGCTCCATCACAGCCATTAACTGGACAGTGTTGTAGTTGTTGGCCTTTATACGGGGCAGAACATCATCAGCGAATTCTCTGTAGGTGCTCACCCGGGGTTCTGAGCCACTCATTCCAACATGTGCCTCATATATTCGAGGAGCCGTCGGCCTTGGCGGTTGAGGATGTTTGAATTGGTACCTACATTGCCAATCAGAGACCTATTTAGTCACTGGCTAAGCAGCACAAGGTTACCATGTCCTCGATGTTTTTATCAAAATCTAGCTAGTTACTCAGTGCATAACTGCATATGCATTACAGAATGAGCATTTCCAGAATTATCTCACATTCTTAGCTTTGGTAGTGGAATGAGACATATACCAACTATGGGAAAGTAATACCATTGGCCATTATTTAGACCCTATTAGAAGAGAGAAAGACGGTAAGAAAAAGTAAATCAAGCGCATATTGAGAAGTTTGCACCTTTCAGGGGCTGGAGGATCCCAGAAAACACCATCATACGGAGCTCCAAACCTTGCGGGATCCACGGTGGCGTACTGTATCCAAGCTGGAATGCGATCAACCCACGATCCACCGCCATGTTTGAACCGAAATTTGACCCTTGAATTGTGGGGGATGGCTGGATTTCCGCCAGAGTCGGGCAGGGTTATACTCCAAACACCAAATTCATTCTTTTCCATCTTATGGTTGGAACCATCCCACCCATTGAAGTCCCCAATCAACTGTGCCTCCCTACACAAAATAGAAACTTGTCTCCTAAGCAACCAATCGAAAGGACTATCTGCTAAGTTCATATGTTGATCTACAGAAAAAAAAAATAAAACAACTCACCCAGCAGAAGGGGCCCACTCGCGGTAGACAATGCTGCTCCCTTCTCTATTGAAGCCAAATTTCAGGTAACCTTGTGCAAACTGCTTAAGACCTCCTTCATGCTTTTCAAGGAGCTTTCTCTGATCTAAGTATTTTCTCATCCTATACCTGAAGTGATCCTTAAAAGGTTGCAGGCCAGAATCACTACTAAGAAGACCAATGTTATCAATCTCTTCCTCTGTGGTCATCATAGCTAGATTGTCATCAGTCAGAACTGTTGGGACTGCTCGATTTTGCTGCAAATAGCAATGAGAAACAAACACAGTGAAAGCTAATAAGAGTTACCCTTTGCTATTGGCAATACAGCGTTAAGGTCGTGCAAGTTACCTTCTTTTCACTTATCGACGAAGTGATTGCTGGAAAACTCCATTTGCAGTTGTGAACAGTCAATCTGATAGGTCCAAATGTTTGTCTTACTGGTTTCAGCTTGAGAGAGTCACAAGTTCCCCCAACAGCCTGTCAAAGGTGAAAAATTCAACAACCTCCATATGTATTATTATGTAACCACAATAAGAGAGATCCAGAAAGCAGCACTGCTTCAGAATCACAAAAGAACACTTTTGAAGGAAGATCGAGATCAGCCTAGAACTCAACCACATCCCAAATGCATAGCTGGAGAGCCAGCGTAATTCAACAACTCAATCTTCTGGCTCTAATACCATTTTACGAATCAATCCATCCTACCAGCTTGGCTTGGTACTGAAACTCTATCACAATGCACAACTGAAAAATCTGAGTAGAGACTGATAGTAGATATTCTGATTGCTTTCTTCGGCCATTATAATTTCCTCAAACGATCGAAACAAAAATTATACTTCATGATAAAACCATATGAACAACGTTCACGCGACAATAAGTAATGTGGTTGTAATACCAGATTGCGTATTGTTCTCTCATGAAAGACAAAGAACCCACTCAAAACCCAACATAAACAAACACATAAATTGCGATCACCCAGTCCCAGAAATGCAAGAAACGTCGTTACCCTTTTGGAATTCTTCCAGTAAAATGAAGGAGAAGAAAGTGAAGCAGACCCGGAAACAGGCGCTTGAAGCAGCAGACTCAGAGAGCCAAACATCGTTCTCGAGTGAAGCTCCTCGAATTCCACATTCCTCAAGAGGAAGAAATTAATAACTAAGCTTTAAGCTGAGACAGTAATCACGGAGCCCTCGCAGCTTCAGCCTCTGACACGTCTGCATTGCGGGGAGTTCGATTGGGCGATCTCAGCCGTCAGCCAGGCGGAGTGGGTTCCATTAAAGTTTGTTCCTTTGCAACCAAAATGGCGAAATTCTGGTGTCCTTTGGGGCTTGGCATGATTTTGGGAAGGAAAGAAACCGACGAGAGCAAAGGATCCACGTGCCAGCTCATCAGCCGTCAAAGTTGCTTTCTGGGATATTTGTTAAATGTGTAAACAAGAAACATTGAGCACTATATGATTGAGAAAGATGGAATAGAAGGACTGATTTGCATTTTATTCCTCACTTCAGGTAATCTCGTGGACTGCCCAGGTCATTAAATCGGACGGTTCAGAATTAATCTCGTCAAACTTTATTTTTTGACGGCTTAGATTTCCTGAAACAGCTTGAAAGACGGAATTACCCTTCCTTTGTTTGTTGCATAATTAAACGCAATAGCTTCGAGCGGGGGAAAAGGGCGGTGAGATTTTGAGTGAAAATTAGGGTTTAGATAGAAGAGGAAGAGAAAGGATCGCAAGAGAAGAAACAGCAAGAGGAGAAGAAGCACCAGCGAAATCGGAGGGATGAGCAGAAGCTTGGGCATACCGGTCAAGCTACTCCACGAGGCCTCCGGCCACATCGTGACGGTTGAGCTGAAAAGCGGCGAGCTTTACAGAGGGAGCATGGTGGAGTGCGAAGACAACTGGAATTGCCAGCTCGAGAGTATTACTTACACCGCTAAGGTACCGTCATTGCTCGTTTAGCTTTCTAACTCACTTTTAATGGCTTCTTCGCTCAGTGTTTGGTTTCCAGGAAAGTGAATGGTGTAGGTGGTTGTTTTGTTTACTGTATAGTTTGAAATTAGATGGGGGAATCCCTAGGGTTTAGCTAATAGCTTTCTAGGCTGAATTGATTATCATAGATGGTTTTCCTGCTAACCTGACCGAAATGCCTCTAGGGTAGTCCCTTTCTCCCCTGTACTGCGATGCAAGCTGCTGTAGAAGTCATAATTTGGGATGTCTGGAGTCAGCAGTAGTATATGTTTGTGTGGAGTTTCGTTCTTTCCCACGGCATAGATAGTGGAATCGACGAGTTAGGCTGCTTCTGTTTGTAGTATATCCATAGCTAGTCAACGTTGTTGAGTGACTGTATCTTGGTGGTTTATTCCATATCCTCAATCTGGGGGGCATGGAATGCCTGCTAGCTCTTTTGCTCATATGTGATTATTGGCACTTTGAGAAGTTTCACCCTCGAAAGACTAAAGTTAAAATTGTAGTTTGTTCAAGGATCTATGTAATGGTTGGACGCCATTCCTTTTGAATAATCCTGGACTAGATAAGCGAATTTAGTAGATTGGACCACTTTTTTCTTGGTTGTCGCCATTTATTGTCTGTTCTCTGGGCTTTCTGTAAGTTACTAACTGTTGCAAGGGCACTCTGCAGGATGGCAAGGTTTCACAGCTTGAGCATGTTTTCATCAGAGGCAGCAAAGTCAGGTAGTGTTGCCCTCCCTTTTATTTCTTGTGTCTGAAGAGTCGTCTTTTTTTTTACGACCTGCAAATTTTATTTTTTGAACGAAGTAACCTGATGTGTTATCTCTCGACAGGTTTATGGTCATACCAGATATGCTAAAGAATGCTCCTATGTTCAAGCGTCTAGATGCCAGAATCAAGGTAAGAATCCTTTGATGTGATTAGACTATTCGCCTTTATGAGATTTGGATCTTTTGCATTTCGTATATTATGTGGCCAACTCTTTATGCGTCTCTCAATCTTGTGTGAAGGGAAAGAGTGCATCACTTGGAGTCGGAAGAGGAAGATCTGTCGCCATGCGAGCTAAAGTGAGCCCCCCTTCTTCTTAAGAGATGTGTTTCCTTTCTTGTATTGTTTTGGACTGATTTGCCTTCAGTTCAAAAGCATAGGTCACCTAAGCTTAGTGAACTATTCAATGTTCCTAGACCAGGATCTGGAAACTCCTGCATGAAATAGCTCCTTTAAGGGACTAAATTATGAACTTACTTCCTTGTGCAGGCTCAGGCTGCTGCTGGTGGCCGTGGAGGACCTGGGAGGGGCGTTGTACCGCCTGTTAGGAGATAAGTCGGTCTTCCTCATGGATAATTTTCAGTGCTTATTCGCTGTTCTCACGACGGTTCACTTGCGAGCTTCTTCCCTGAATTCACGAGGCTGAGATTCTTGAGGGAACAATAGGATTGTGGTACCCCTAGAAACTTGATGTAAAAGCTTTTGTACGGCTCTTGTTGAGGGCACTTGGTATGACTTTCCTGATGTGTGGAATGCAAAAAAAAAATTCTCTGATTCCGTATGTTCTTTCTTATCGTATATTAGGCTGCTGTATGGCGTTACTCTGAATTCGGAACTCCAGTGACATAAGAAAATGAACACTTAATTACGGGTCGTTTGCGTTGATCGATTTGGTGATGGACTTGCATTTATCATGGATTTTGACAAAAGTCTATTGTTTGCTTGATGGAATTGAAGGGAGTAAATCCGTGGGGCCCACAGAGTTTGGAGGTGCATATCCGTGGACCCCACAGACTTGGAAGTTCCACCTATGGAGATTGGAGGTGGGAATTGAGTGATGGATTTAAATCCACGATGGTATTTTACTAGTTTATCCCTACTTATTTTACCTAATGACTAATCTACCCTTCTTCCCCGGTGGTGGCCTCCAACTCTTTTTCCTCAGTTTTTCATATAGAGGAATGAATGATAAAGGGACTCTCATGTTTGCTTCTTCTTGTCTCTTTCTTTTTTTGGGCTTGTTTAACATTTCTCACATAAATTGTGAATTTCGTGATGAAATTTCGGATTAAGCGTGGTGCTCGAGTTTGATAAAAAAAATTGGGACATTTTCAATTGTGGTTGAATTTAACATCTTCGTCTACTGAGTCTTCTATTTACTCCTCTATTGATATTTCTAACACTTTATGCTCATCTTGTGCATTATTGCTGGATCGACAGTTGGATCCAAAAATTAGGGAGTTGTGTCATGTTCAAACTATTATGCATTTCTATATTTGTAATTGAACGAGTTCACAAAGTAGAAGTTCAATTACTTTGTATGCATTAGATTTGTTTTTAAGGGAAATATAATTACATAAGGGTAACAAGGTAATTTGTATTTCATATCCACAAATCTAATCAAATAAAATCCATTATCAAATCCAACAAACAAACAATAGACTTGTTCAAATCCATGATGCCACCAAATCCATCATATATCCATGGTTTTTCAAAACTCAGGTTTTACCAAAACCCTCATATTTAAAATCCACGAAGCAAACGACCCGTTAAAGATCGGTAATTGGTTACGTCTCTAAGCGATTTTTTATTGTTGTCTCAGAAATGAGGATTTTTTTTTAATTTGAACGAAGGGAAAGGACCACCACCACCCCTCCCCACATATGACTTTTTTCACTCAACAAAAAACAAATAACATCAGACAGCAGAAGAAGAAGAAGAAAGTGACGCAGCATTAACGAAAGAAACCGTAGAGTTCCAAGAAGCAAATGCACAGGTTCCAGGGATTTGATGCATCAGTTGTCAGACCAGTTAACATCACTCTAAAGAATCTGAAGGGCAGCAGTGCGTTTAGCCCGGTGATCTGCCATGACGCGAACTGGCCTGGTTTGCTCGTTGATTGGTCATCGTTGTGTGTAAGTCTGTCCATGTCTTAGCCGAAAAAGTTAAACTGCTAACAATGCATTTTGTTAGCAGATACTGATAAGGTTGGATGAAGGCCCACGTGGAGGCAGCTCAGATCCAAGGGATGCAAATGGAAGGCTTATTTAAGTGACTTTTTGTGGGTTTTTTAGCCCATCCGAGTAAAGGGGGGAGCTGATGGGTTTGGCTTGGTAAGAGCCAATGTTTTGGGCGGGAGAAAGGGAACAAAGGGGGCCCAACAGATGATTAAAATGGGGAAAGAAGCTCATAAAGTGGCTTCTGCGGGTCCACCAAGAAAAAAGTAGAGAAAAAGAGAATTAATTGGAAAGAGGAGAGAAGTGACAAAAAATATAAAGAAAAGTGATAAATAATTGGAGAGAGGAGGGAAGTGACAGAAAATGAAAAGAAAAAAAGGAAAAAGTAATTGCAAAAAAGAGAGAAGTGACGAAAAAATGGAGAAATTTATTTTTGTACCACTTTTTTTCTCTCTCAACCTCTCTCATTCTTTTTTGTGTGGATATTTATTCATGGGCTGAAGGATTACAAGTTTATGTGGTAAGATATTAGTCTGGGCAGTATGGATTTTTATTTTTGCATGAATTGATATTATATGCAGTGGATATGAGTCTGTGAAGTAATGAATATTGTGTCTTCCATCAAAACTAAACACACTATCAAGTCCTAACACATAAGGCTTGCAACCTTAGTTAGGGCTGCCCGTCGAGGGCCCATGGGCCTTCGGCCCATGAAACAATAATAGTAGGAGAGTGAAGGTTTAGGGTTTATGATTTAGTGATTAGTCTTGTAGTCGGATATTAAACGGGGTGGTGTTTGTATTTGTTTTTGCAAAGAATGTGTATTAGTTTAGGTGGTTCGGATATTAGCTTTGGTTTGAATTGATGTTAGTTCATGTTTTCAACTATTTGTCTGGGATGTTTGGATATTTGTTTTCTCATTAATTGATATTAGTCTGTTGATATTAGTTCATTAGCCAATTTAATTACTTTTGGTATTAGTTTGCAATTGTCAGATATTAATCTATGTGTGGTGGATATTAGTCTGCAATGGTCAGATATTAGTCTGTGTGTCGTGGGTATTAGTATTTATAGTTAGGATATTATTTACGAGCTGAATGTATATTGGTCTTAGGCGATGAGATATTAGTCCGGGTGTTGTGGATATTTGTTATGGTGAACATATATTATTTTGGGTGGTTTGGATTTGTTTTGTGTGGATGTTTACCTATGTTTGTATTGAAATTTAGTTTAATTAGCGATTAAGGTTTAGAGTTTATGTGTAATTGGTATTAGTTTCTGATGTTCAGATATGAATCTGTGCGTAGTGGGTATTAGTTTTCGGTGGTAATATATTAATCTGTGTGTGGTGGGTATTAGTCTGCTACCGTCCGATAATAGTCTGGGTGGTTTGGATCTTTGTTGTATATGCTTATATCAATTTAGGGTTTGGTGTAAGGGTTTAGGATTTAGAATTAAGGTTTACAGTTTAGAATTTGGAGTTTAGGGTTTAGGATTCGTATTTGGGGTTTAGGGGGTTTAGGGTTCAGGGTTTGGGGTTGAGGTTTAGAGTTTAGGGTTCAAGCTTTGTGTTAGTGTTTAGGGTTAGGGTTTCAGGTACAGGGTTCGAGTTTTGGTTTCAGGTTTAGAAGACGATAATGTGGAAATGGTTTGAACACAATGTAGGGTGGTTCGATTTTTGTCTGTGGTGATAAGATATTATTATGTGATTGGAGGATATTAGTATGAGATGTGTGGATATGTTGGCTGTGTAGTCGGATATTAGTCTAAGACAGATAGAAATTAGTCTTTGAGCGATGGATATTAGTTTGTATAGGTGAGGATATTTATTATGTGAGGAACGGATATTGTTATGGGTGGTGTGGATATTATTTTTATTGTGTACGGATATTGGTCTGCTATGGTTTTCTAGTACGCTAAACTAGTGAGAACACTCGATACAATTAGTAGTCAAAGTCATTCCGACATGGAGATTATAACTTTCCAAACAAAAAGAAGTATTAGTCTGAGCTTTAAGGATATTATTCTACATAAAGACGGATATTTTTCTCGGAGGTTACGGTATATTTTTGAATAAGAATTTATGTTGGTAATTATATCCAACATTTGAAAAAATATTATCCATCTTGCTACAAACCAACATTCTTCCCTAAATATTATCTAACTCTAAGTTCAGTTTTACAAACCAATATCACACTACACAAATCTAAAATAAACTTTTCTTCCTTTTCCCTCATCGCCTTGGTCATCACTTTCTTCATCCTCAATTTCTTGGTCCTCATTTTGTTGTTGTTGTTTGGCACATTTAGGCCTAAAGGTTTCGCCTTCTGATGTGGTCCTCATTGCAGTTGATTTAGTTCTTGTCATTGCAGCTCGACTTCACATAACGAATACCCCAACCATAAGAAGTAATATCAAACAAGTCATATCTAAATATATCAAGCAACTATCCAGGCAATTCACAAATGATATCATGGTCGACCAAAATCAATATCAATGTAGGAATATCTAGATATATCAAACAACTATCCAGACAATTAAAAACTGATATCCTGCCCGAACAGAACTAATATCGGAACGCACACAAAACATATCCAAAAAACCTAAAAAACAAAGTAACCCAGATCCAATCAAATCCACAAAATCCACAAACAAAGCAACCCAGACCCAGATCCAATCACATCGACAAACCCAGAAAACATATCCACATAATCCAAATATATCAAACAACTATCTAGGCAATTCACAAATGATATCATGGTCGCAAAAACCAATATCAATCTAGGAATATCCAGATATATCAAACAACTATCCAGGCAATTAAAAACTGATATCCTGCCCGAACAGAACTAATATCGGAACGCACACAAAACATATCCACAAAACCCAGAAAACAAAGCAACCCAGATCTAATCAAATCCACAAAATCCACAAACAAAGCAACCCAGACCCAGATCCAGTCACATCCACAAACTCAGAAAACATATCCACATAATCCAGAAAACACATCCACAAACCCAGAAAACATATCCACATAATCCACAAAAGAAAGCAACCCAGATCCAGTCAAATCTAAGTTACCAGAAAACAAATCCATCAAACTCATACAAAAAACGCAGAAAAAGAAAAACCCAGATCTAGTCGAATCCATGAAACCCTAACTTCAAACACTACTTATTTCTTTGAAACACAAAATCAGAATCCAAGAAACAAAATCAAAAGAAAAATAGAACAATCTTCAGAAACTCGATTGAATCACAATAAGCAAGGTGAAGAATGAGAGAGAGAGAGAGAGAGAGAGAGAGAGAGAGGAAAAACACGGTTACCGTCGTCTTCTTCCTTCAAGCACAGCCACCGTCGCCGACAACTTCTTCCTTGTCGCGATACCGTCGTCGCCGTCGTTTTCACAGTCGTCGTCGTCTACTTCGTTAGAGTCGGAGAGTGGTTCTGGTGATTGTTGGGAGAAAAGGGGAGGAGGAAACAAAAAAGTTTTTGAGGAGAGAGAATGAAAACTGACGAAGTGATTTGAAGAGAGAAGGAAACTAAGAACATGCAGTCATTTTTTTGAATTTGTGGGCCCCTTTTGGATAGTGGAATTAGGGCAGCCGATGGACTCGGCTCTCTTCCTCTCACAAGTCGGCGCCAATCCTCCTCCAACGTCCGATCCGGCTCGACGACGTGGCCATCTATCCTAC